CCCGCATCGGGCTCCCTGCTCAGCGGGAAGCCTGCTTCTCCCTCTCCCACTCCCCCTGCTTGTGTTCCCTCTCTTGCTGTGTCTCTATCAAATAAATGAATAAAATCTTAAAAAAAAAAAAGAATGATGGTAGAATAGAGGCATTTTCACACAAACAAAAATTGAAAGACTTCAACAGAATAAACCCACACTAAAGGAAATTCTAAAAGACATATTATAAACTAGAGAAAACTGATCTCAGAAGGGAAATCTAGGATGAAAAAAGAAATGAAGAACAAAGTGGTAAATACAAAGATAAATTTAGATGAACATTGACTGTATAAGAACAATTTCATGTGGGTTTAAAAATATAGAGAGAATTAAAATCTGTAATAATAATATTTACATCAGGAGAGACTGAAAGGAGTAAAGTACTTTAAAGTCTTTAAATTATCCAAGACAAGAGTTAAGGTATTGATTAATTTTTCAATTATATAAGTTAAGGGCACATATTGTAGTTTGGGGAATAATAATAATAAAAGTATTGAAACAGTGTATAACTTATAAATAAACCAGTAGAGAGAAAAAAATGGATGAATAAAAACATAATAAATCCAAAAGAGGGCAAGAAAAGTAAGAAAAAGAAACAAGGAAGAGCCAGCCAGTACAAAAAGTCAAGAACAAAGGAAGTCAGAATATTCACTCTTCAATCAGAAAGGCCTCACAGGTCACTAAGCACCCAGGGCAGCCCCCAACAAAAGCAGAGTTAGTTGACCCTATAGGGCCCCAGGGCTGAGACATCTCCATCTTCTCCCAAATCTCATCACTTCTAGGTTTCTCTGATTAGTGTGGAGAAAAATATTCCCTGAACAAAATATTTACCATCTTCCTGGTGATTGTCACTTGGGATCTCCCTTCTTGCCACCTCCTGCAAGGAAAAAAAGTTTGAATGTTTAGAAAAAGAGAGTTGATGGGTATCCAGATGTGACCTTACCAGACATTTCCTTTAAAACAAATACTAAGATATTTTAAAATAGTAATTGAGATAGTTTCTAAGTTACCTAAAGAGAATATCCAAAAACAAAGGAATCAACTAAATACGAATCTTTTTTTTTTTTTAAGATTTTATTTATTTGACAGAGAGAGACACAGCGAGAGAGGGAACACAAGCAGGGGGGAGTGGGAGAGGGAGAAGTAGGCTTCCTGCTGAGCAGGGAGCCCAACGCCAGGCTCAATCCCAGGACCCCGGGACCATGACCTAAGCCGAAGGCAGACGCTTAACAACTGAGCTTCCCAGGCGCCCCCTAATCTGTCTTTTTATAAAATGAAGGTATTGTAAACTCAAACTGAAAAAAAAATCTTACTAACTTTTTACTAGTACAGTGTTGATAATCCAAATGTGGATTAATCAGAGCCCTTGATTCTTTTTTGTTTTTAAGATTTTATTTGTTTATTTGAGAGAGAGAGCCCAAGAGGGGGTAGGGTCAGAGGGAGAAGCAGACTCCCTGCTGAGCAGGGAGCCTGACATGGGACTTGATCCCGGGACTCCGGGATCATGACCTGAGCGGAAGGCAGTTGCTTAACCAACTGAGCCACCCAGGCACCCTGATTCTTTTTTTTCTCTTTCTAGCTATTTTCAGCAATTTCATTGCTCATAATTTATCAAAGAAAATGCAGACAAAAGGAGAAGTTGAATATAATAGTTCTGCTTCTTGCATCATACTCACTCATACAAATGAGTCTTATATAATGGTTGTATCCCCCTCCCACCAATTTTTTCACTAAGAACTTACTCTCTTTTTTTTTTTTTAGATATTTATTTATTTATTTGTCAGAGATAGAGAAAGAGAGAGCACAAGCAGGGCAAGCAGCAGGCAGAGGGAGCAGCAGGCTCCCCACTGAGCAAGGAGCCTGATGAGTGACTTAATCCCAGGACCCTGGGATCAAGACATGAGCCAAAGGTAGATGCTTAACTGACTGAGCGTTAGTTACTGAGTGTCCCTAAAAACTCATTCTTAATTCTTGCCTCATCTTGCACAATCTCTACCTCCCCAATGCCCACAACTTCTATGCCATCTTCACCCCTTAACTTTTCTTCTTTTATGTTCCAATGAAGAGGCAGCTTTGGGAAAGCCACAGTTGAGATGTTAAGATTCAGTAATTAAAAGTCAGAGGTAGGGGCGCCTGGGTGGCTCAGTAGGTTGAACCTCCGGCTCTTGGTTTTGGCTTAGATCATGATCTCAGGGTCCTGCATGGGGCTCCGAGTTCAGCAGGGAGTCTGCTTCCTCTCTCTCTCTCCCCACCAGGTCATGCTCTCTTTCTCTCTCAAATAAATAAATAAATCTTAAAAAAAAAAAAAAAGCCAGAGGAGAAAAATGTAAGGAGTAAGTTAACAGGAGATGGAGACACTGGGTAGAGAGGAGAAATTTTAAAACCAGCCACAACCTCTAACTGTTGTATTCCTGTTGAGAGCCAAAATACCTGGCATAAAATGTGCTAAAAGTTGTATGTATAAATATACCACTTTTGATAATGGCCTAGTAGGGGAGAGGGAAAAGGGAGATTGAAATTAATGGAGGAGGTCCTCTGCATCCTGTCTCCCCTTCTTTCCTTTTAAAGGGTCTAAAATGCCTCATCAAACAAGTCCTCCTAGACCTTCATAAATAATTGAAAGTCCAATGAATTGTTAGTATTAATCACTGACTAGTCAACAGATCAACAGGAAAGTGAATACATTACCTGTGTTCCCAGTGGGAAAGTGTCTAATTTCTGATCTGGTATACCATTGCCCTGGGTTGCAGAAGTACTCATTAGGGAATCCTTTATTTCCCGGTTGGGGAAGGGAATAAAAAGTCCTTTGTTTGAGTCTGTGTTAAAAGAAAAGGAATACAATGAAGCACTGACCAGACTTCAAAGGCAACATGTCTTATGGAAAGATACTGGAAGGGAAGTCACAAGATTGAGAGCTAGTTCTGGTGCCACCAGTTGGAAACCATGTGAACTTGGGCAAACTGCTTAACCTCTTTAATTTTCTCCATTGTAAAACAGTGATGATAAAATCTAAACTACCTATCTCTCAGGGTTGAGGTAAGGTTAAAACAAGGTAATCGGGGGTGTTTGGCTGGCTCAGTCAGTGGAGCGTGCAACTCTTGATCTTGGGTTGTGAGTTCGAGCCCCACACTGGGTATAGAGATTTAAAAATAAAATCTTAAAAACAAACAAACAAACAAAACCATATCCTAGTCCTGGCCACCCTAGAAATGTTATCAAAAAGAGCCAGTTAGGATTTTTATTAGATTGGAATGCTTATAGAGAAGTTTTTGGGGGCGCCTGGGTGGCTCAGATGGTTAAGCGTCTGCCTTCGGCCCAGGTCACGATCCCAGCATCCTGGCATTGAGCCCCACATGGGGCTCCCTGCTTGGTGGGGAGCCTGCTTCTCCCTCTCCCACTCCCCCTGCTTGTGTTCCCTCTCTCGCTGTCTGTCAAATAAATAAAAAAAAATTAAAACAAAACAAAACAAACAAACATACATCTCTTCTGTCTTCACTGTTCAGTAGTATGTGAAGTATATTGCTCTGACTGCGGCCAGAGAAGACTAGACACAACTAGAAATATGTCCTGATATTCTATTTAGCTATAACAGTATATAGTTATGAAGCTCACATTTCTACAAGTTTTCTTTAATAATGTATCTATAACGTTAAAGTCATATCCTGGAGATTTCTGGAGGTTTCACTGGCTGATACCCCAAAATCAAATTTAAGAAATGCTAATACAATTTAAGAAATGTTAACTCCAAAATTTCCAGTTATACCTCTATCTCATGACTAGGAAAAAGGACTATAAACTGACAGGAAGCTATTACCTGAACTAAGCTTCAAAAGCCTTCCGGTGCCGGAGTCAGGGTTTGACAGAGAAGTCAGTAAGTCTCCACAGGAATGAGATGTGGTGGCCTTCATGTCATTTGAAGGCTTTATGCTATATTCTCGGTAGTTCTTGCTTCTCGGAGGCCTTTTTCCAAGACTTCCGTGCAGGGATAGATTGTGAGAATAATGACTATCATAATTTTCTAGACCAACATCTGAAGGTAACTGATAGGAATGGATCTGGCTAGAATCACCCACATCCAGACGTTTACCCAATGAGACATCATGGGTAAGCTGGTAAGTATCAGGTTTTAGTATCAAATCCTTTTCTGGAGAAGAACCTGAAGACTTATTGTCCAAAAAAGATAGTCGGTAGCCTTCTCGAGCCATCTTCTCTGGGGATTGGACTGTGGACTGACGAGGAGAGTAGTGTCTAAATTCTAACCACCACCAAGGGGAAAAGGAAACACAAAATACAATGAGAATTCTTCTTGGCTCAGTTAGGGTACCTCTGTTCACTAGACACACCTCTGTCTACCAGAAAAAGTTCTCAGGAAGAGATGGTTTATAATTTTGATAAATAGTGGCATAAAATGATAAAAGGACTTTTACATGGAACAACAACAAAATATGTTGGACACTGTGTAAACAGTAAAGAATCTTTAACATTCTGGAGATAAATTTCATGTCAACCTAATCCCCTAGGCATTTCCTCCTAAAACTATAGTATCAGAGTTTTTCTAGATGCTGTTTTCATATAAAAATTTTGGTGTACCCCATATGACAAGAGTTGTGATCTTATGTCTTCAGTCTATAGACAATAGTTGGTAGGTTTATGATTTCGTAGACTCCTCACAATAATGCTAAGCCCACTCCCACCCCCAAACTCCACTCAGAGGTTCTAGGTTCATACACTGGGAACCAGTATCCTAAGCCAATTAAATGGCAGGGAATCCAAAACTATGAAAATCCCTAACCAGCTATAAAGCATTTCTTTCAGACAGCTGTATGTCATCTCTAAAGAGTGTCAGAGTGGGGCAAGTAGATGAATTCTTTGCGCCCTTTGGAGTTTTCAGAGTTTCATATGCTTAAAGGTCTTCCTTAGGAAGCATACCTGAGTTAGTCACGTTAACTTCAGAAACGTAGAACCAAGCACTCTTTACCTCTGTAGGACCTACAGAATATCAACGTTTTACCCAGGGCCGGCCTACACAGTGAGGGAAAGGTTGTAGAACAATATTTTTATGTAACAAAAAGATTCTAACAAGTGATGAGGTTAGATAATTCAGACTGTGCCTCTTATTGAAGACATTAAAAAAGTGCGATGATACATGTTCTTAAAAGCATCAAAGAGCTTGTTAGCTGGTGAGGATTTTCTAGGCCAAAATCTAGGAAACAGCAAGGACACACATAGGTAAGACTAGCAATGAAAGTCACATTTCCCGTCAGAAGTTTTAGGATAATAGGGACAGAAGTTCAACATCCATCCAAAGTGAGGAGTATGACAAACCATCCCTACCCCCCATCCTCCCCACATACATATTAAGATGGAACCCCAAGCAGACTGCAACCTTCAGAGTAAAAGTAAACTGGAAGTAAGCCAGCCCTTGTACTGACTGGTAACCCAGGTTTGTATCATCTGGATTAATGGGGAACCTTAAGCTTTGAGCTTGGATTTAAGTGATCCCAGAATGATAGTGTCCCAAGTACTTGGTAGAAGCAAATGAAAATCTGATCTGGAAAAGACACCTTTATGTAAGACTTTAAATAATTCCTATAAATAGTTTTTCAAATATGTAGCAAATAGCCAAAGCAAAGGAGCAAAAATGTATGTAAGTAAGTATGAGTAGGAAAAAAGACAATAAACTTCAGATATTGGAATTAACAGATATAGCCTATGCAACAGCTATGTTTACTATGTATAAAGAAATACAAAACAAGCTGGAAATTTTCTGTTTATAAAAACTGACACAGCAGACTTGAAAAAGAACAAAGTAAAACTTAGAGAATTGAGAAATAAAACTATTGAAATTAAGAACTCAGCAGACAAGATTAACAGCAGATTAGACATAGCTGAAGAAAATGTTAGTGAACTGAAAGAGGGGTCAGAAGGAATTACCCAGAATGCAGATCAGAATCCCCCCACCCAAAAATATAAAAGAATAAGAGAAAAAGAGAAAAAGGACAAAGTAAAGATCTCTACTATATATTTTTTTAATCAAGAGTCCCAGAAGGACAGATAGAAAGAATGAGACACAAACAATATTTGAAGCTCTCTCCAGAATTAATGAGACACAATTCACAGATTCAAGTGTAAAAAATACCAAACAGGATAAAAAAAAAGAAATCCAAGTATCATACCAAAATTGAAGAAAACCAAAGACAATTGGATAATCTTAAAAGCAGCCAGAGAAAAAAAGACAGATTATCCTTGCAGGAGTGACAGACCTCCAGCTAACTTTTCAAAAGCAAAAACAAAAGAATACAGCAGAATACCTTCAATATTCTGAAAGAAATAACTGCCAACCTAGAAATTTATACCTGGCCAAAATACTCTTTAAGAATGATGGTAGAGGGGCGCCTGGGTGGCTCAGTTGTTAAGCGTCTGCCTTTGGCTCAGGTCATGATCCCAGGGTCCTGGGATCAAGCCCCGCATCGGGCTCCCTGC